ACCAGCTTTGGGGTTGTCTCTCGTACCAGTAACTAGCGGAGGCGGGTCCTCACTTACTGTGCCTGTGAACGCCTTCTAGAAATGTTTACAACTCTTGCCTGACCAGCTGTCTGCCACATTCCCTCCTCTCCTCCCACCTTAGCTCCGACCTCACTTCCCCTTGACCATGGCCCTGGTTTCCCCCATTTTCTGCCTCCTCCATGATGAGCCCTGATAATATGGTTCTTAAAAGGAATTTAGACCAGTCTCCAGCTTTTTCGGGTGAGGAATCAGGTCAAGAGAGGGGAAGTAACTAACCCAAAGTCACACCACTTCATTCACTTATTCACTCAACCAAGAGCACTCCTTACCCTTTAAGATTTAGCTTAAATGTCACCTCATGGGCAAACCTGCTTTGACTACTTTATCTAAAGCAGACCCCTCCCCCCATTCTTCTCTATTTCTGTCCCATGTATCTTTTTACCCTTTATCACAATTACTAATTGTTTCATTTTTTAATCTTTTTGGTCTGACTCCTCTACTAGAATATAAGCTCTATGAGGGCAAAAAGGACATGTTTGTCCTTCAGTGATGAGCATGCACTGTATTCTCAGCATCCAGCACATTAATAGGTGGTTCAAGAAGTCTTTGCTGAATTGCCCAGCTGGTGTGACTCAGTGGTTTAGTGTCAACCCTTGAACCAGGAGGTTACAGTTTGATTTTGGTCAGGGCTCATGTCCAGGTTTTGGGCTCCACCCCAGTGGGAGGGCTTGCAAGAGGCAGCCAATCAATGATGCCCTGTCATCATTGATGTTTCTACCCCTGTCTCCCTCTCCCTTTCTCTCTGAAATCAGTTTTAAAAAATACATTAAAAAAATCTTTGCTGAATTAATTAATGTACAATGAGCAGGTAGCCTCAAGGCACCTGGGGATATGAAAATAGATGGGATATAGTCCCTGCTTTCAGAACTGTCTTGTTTTAGCAACAGAACCAGAAAATTTGGAATGTGATGAGAACAGGTCCAGATTGGAGATCCAGGTTGGGGATAGGGGCAGGGTATTTTAGGGGCACCTAAAACAGGCCAAATCTGCCCAGCCGGCTTGGCTCAGTGGTTGAGCCTCGATCTATGAATCACGGTTCAATTCCCGGGCAGGGCACATGCCTGGGTTGCAGTCTCAGTCCCCAGTGAGGGGCGTGCAGGAGGCAGCCAATCCATGATTCTCTCATCATTGATGTTTCTATCTCGCTCCCTCTCTGAAATCAATAAAAAATATATTTAAAAATAATAAAACAGGCCTAATCTCTCTGGGGCTTTTGTTAACAACTGCTTAGAAGCCAGGATACACCATTTGGCTGTGACTCAGGCCTGTGTCCTGCGCAGCCCAGTAGCATAAGGGGCTGACAACTCATCTACGGGAGCGTGTGCTCCCCTTCCAGTGAGGGAGGGCTCGGCAGGCGGTGTCACACGTCCAGTTGGTAGCCAAGTCCACAGCCAGCCATGGAGGCCCCAGCGATAGCCCCACACCTTCCAGCCTAGTCTCTAATCCTTTGCCTGGTCTTCTGCTTCAGGACAGACCCTGTGCAGCCTCAAGGAAGGTGACACCTGCCCAGCCTTCAGGATTAGTGGGGTGACAGCTGTCCCAGCTGGGTAGCCTCCATACCCAGAGGGCAGATGGGTTGTCCCACATGGCTCGGAGAGAAGCGGATGGCCTGCCTTCTTGTTCAGGAACCCCGAAGAGGAGGAGGAGGGAGAGCAGTGGGAATCCCTTTCTTTGAAGAGAGAGTCCAAGCCCCTGCTGGCTCTCCTGGGAGGAGCTCACCTCTCAGTCCAATCTTCTCCCTACAGTGGGGCAAGATGGCAGTTGCTGCTGCTGTTTCTCAAAGCTCACAGCATGCAAGAAACCTTTTCTTTCCTCCTCTTCCCTTTCCAGATTCACCCTCCACCCCACCCGCCAGGAGCCTCAGGCCCTGGCAGCCTGCACCCTCCTTCCAGCTAAATCAGCGGTTCTCAACCTGTGGGTCGCAACCCCTTTGGCGGTCGAACGACCCTTTCACAGGGGTCGCCTAAGACTATCCTGCATATCAGATAGTGGGCTGCTCAGGGCTGAGCCAGAGTCCTCCAGCTTCCTCCATCATTTCCTACCTGCCGCCTGGCTAACTGACCAAAATGACTCAACACCTTGAGTGTCACCGAGCGGTTTTAGCTCTCATCCCCATGGTTACAGGGGCTGGGGATTATTTCCAACTTCATTCAGAAAGGTTAAGTAACTTGCCCGAGGTCACACCTTGGGAAAGGGGCAAGCACAATCAAACGAAAAACCAAACTTGCATCTCCCGCTCAGTAGCTTGGCAAGTGCTGAAATGATCTTTGCCGGGAGGGTAAACGCTGCTGTTCCTTCATTTCCTGGCCCCGGGGTGCGTGTGTGCTGGGGAAGGGGACTGTGTGTGTGTGTGTGTGGGGGGGGGGCTGTCCCTTCCTAAATGAACCTTTGACCCCCTTAGTTCACTTTCGCTGCCGAAGAAGTTACTGCTTTAACTCTCGTCTCTCCGAGTGGACTCTGGTGTGTGTCTTATCAGAGCGCTGCCCAACAGTGAGGAGCAGGGCTAATGTTTTCCTTCTCAAAAGAGCAGACACCCCCCCATCCAAATAGCCTCACTTCCCCCGAGACTGTACAGCCCCGGAGCACATACAGAGCAGCACCTGCCCCTGGCACAGACCGCAGGCTACCTTTTCACTCATTCCCCACCATTTTATATGCCACGGATGCTTTTCAGTGCTATAGGGGAGTTTCACCTTCTCCATGAACTCTTCCTATTTCAAGTCAGAAAAAATATTTTTCTT